GAGCCCTGAGCTGTGGGGGGAGGGGCATCGGACCCCGACAGGAGGGTCACTGGTGCCCTCAAACCTCAGAACCCAGAAGGCCAGCGGCCAGGCTGGACTTGAGGCTGGAGGCCTCTCGCTGCGTGTGTGGCCATGGCACAGCCTCGGGGCCGGGGGTCCTCACCAGGCAGTGGGGGCAGGGGGCCGTGTCCTTCTCAGGTGCTCAGGGCGTTCGGACAGACCGTGCTCGGACAGGCCGCTCTCGGTGGTGGTGTGGGCTGGGCAGTGCGGGCCGGGCCTGGCCGGGCTGTCCCGGGATCAGGGTCCCTCTGAGGCAGGCAGGGGGCTGAGTCTCAGTGGCTCTGGCTACGGCCCTGCCCTCTGCGTCTGGCCTGGTGACAGTCATGGACTGTCCACGGGTCCCCCTTGGCAGGACTGGGCGGGGAGACCCCAGAAGCAGGAATGCGCCCACGGACGCCACCAGGGGTCTTCACGCTCGGCCTGCCCCCACGGCAGCTCCTGCGCAGGGGTGAGGCAGGCGAGGGGCCCCAGGGAGGCTGCATGTTTCAAAGGGGAAGAGGCTTAATTATGTCCCTAAGAGGCCCCGGCACACAGAGGGACCCCGGCGCCTCTGGGACCCCCGCAGGGATGCTGGGAAGGACGGAGATCAGCACTGAATCAGCGCCTGACATTTTCGAAATGCATGCATGTGTGTGTGTCTGTGTGTCTCTCTGTGTGTCTGTGTATCTGTGTACATCTGTGTGTGCATCTGTGTGTGTATGTGTGTGTCTCTGTGTTTATGTCTGTGTGTGTCCGTGTGTGTCTCTGTGTGTTTATGTGTGTCTCTGTGTCTTTGTGTGTCTGTGTGTGTCTGTGTGTGTATGTGTGTCTGTGTTTATGTCTGTGTGTGTCTATGTGTGTATCTGTCTGTGTCTGTGTGTCTGTGTGTGTGTCTGTGTGTGTATCTGTGTGTCTCTCTGTGTGTCTGTGTTTGTCTAAGTGTATACCTGTCTGTGTGTCTGTGTATCTCTCTGTGTGTGTCTGTGTGTCTGTGTGTGTATCTGTCTGTGTATCTGTGTGTCTCTGTGTGTCTCTGTGTCTGTCTGTGCGTGTATCTGTGTGTGTGTCTGTGTGTCTGTCTGTGTGGGTATTCTCCTGGGGTTCTGGGGAAAGTGAGGCAGAAGCTCCCGGCAGGTAAGATACAGGCAGGGGCTTGGTGCCCCCATGGCCGGGGCCGGCTGCAGGATGGACCATCCCCAGTGGGTGCCCCGCAGAGGCCAGCCTGGCCTTCGGGATGGAGGACTCGAGTCCTGCCCCTCCCGCCCCCCCTTCACCCACTCACACCCCCACGTGGAGCTCCGGTGCCCACCCGGCCCTGGCTTGGGGGGACAGAGCACAGGCCCTGGCGGGGGACCCACAGCGCAAGTCCCCTCCGTGGGCGGAGATGGGTGACCACGGCGGGAGGCCAGGTCCAGGGACCCCGGCATGGGCACCCAGCGGGATGGAGCAGCCGCCAGCCTGTGACTGGGGGGCTCCGGGTGAGGAGTGTCCCTCTCCCTCCTCACCCCTCCTTCCTCATCACAGACCTGGGGACGCAGGTCTCAAGTCCCTGCGGGGGCCTAGCCTGGAGGCTGGAGCCGGGTGGGACCCTCAGGGTGTGAGGCCCGGGAGAAGCCTCGTCCCCTGCCGCACCCCAGCCCCCCTGCGCTGCCCCCAAGGCCAGCAGCGGCCCCAGGACCCTCCTGGACCTCCCTGAGTCCCTCCAGCTTCCCTGACCCCAGCTGCCCTTCAAAGGCCACTTGGGCTGTCGGTTCCTGCCTTTCTATAGACCTTGAAGAAGAATCCGTGAGGAGCTTCTCTGAACGATCCCTGCGTGGTTGGGGGTGTCGATGGGGGAGGAAGGGGTGAGCAGGGGTGGGTACATGGGCGGGGGTGGATGGAAAGATGGATGGTGGGTGGTGGATGGGTGGATGGGCAGATGGACAGGTGGGCGGAGGGAGAGAGGGTTGGATGGGTGGATGGGTGAGAGGGTGGGTGGACGGATGGATGGATAGAAGGATGGATGGATGGATGGATGGATGGGTGGGTGGACGGATGGATGGGTGGACAGATGGGTGGACGGGTGGATGGATGGATGGATGGATGGATGGATGGGTGGACGTATGGATGGATAGAAGGATGGATGGATGCTTGGATGGGTGAATGGATGGGTGGATGATGGATGGATGGACAATGGGTGGATGGATGATGGGTGGGTGAGTGAGTGAATGGGAGGAAGGAAAGCTGTGAAGAAGTGATGTCGGGAAGTAATCTGTGCGCTGCCCGGCTGAGGGCAGGGAGGGGGAACTGCAACTTGTGATGAGCCCAAGAGAAAGGACAGCGGGTAAGGCACTTGCCCTGCATGTGGCCAATCCGAGTCCAGTGCCCTGAGCACAGAGCCAGGAGTCATCCCTGAGCTCTGCCCTGGAATGAGGCTGGGAGCACTCAGCCGCAGACCTGGGCCCCGAGCTGTGGGGAGGCGCAGGGGCCCACGCGGACTCTGGGGTCGGGGCAGGAGAGAGCCTGGTTCTCGGGGCCAGTCCCGACTTCCTGCTCTGTGCGCTGAGACCCCCCTTCAGGCCGCAGCCACGTCCGTCATTCTTCTTGCTAAATGAAAAGATGCTGAGGAGATTCAGACCCTGAACCAGAGAGTCCAGCCCTGCCCACCCCTGCCCATCCCTGCCCATCTCTACCCAGCCCTGTCCATCCCTGCCCATCCCCGCCCATCCCTACCCGTCCCTGCCCTTCCCTACCCATCCCTACCCATCCCTACCCATCCCTGCTTGTCCCTACCCATCCCTGCCCTTCCCTACCCATTCCTGCTCGTCCCGGCTCGTCCCTACCCGTCCCTACCCATACCTACCAATCCCTGCCCATCCCTACCCATCCCTACTCATCCCTGCCATTCCCTACCTATCCCTACCCATCCCTGCCCGTCCCTACCCGTCCCTACCCATCCCTACCCATCCCTGCCTGTTCCTTCCCGTCCCTGCCCATCCCTACCCATCCTCGCCCATCCCTACCCATCCCTGCCCATCCCTACTCATCCCTGCCCGTCCCTGCCATTCCCTACCTATCCCTACCCATCTCTACTCATCCCTGCCCATCCCTACCCATCCCTGCCCATCCCTGCCCATCCCTGCTCATCCCTACCCGTCCCTACCCATCCCTACTCATCCCTGCCCGTCCCTACCCATCCCTGCCCTTCCCTGCCCATCCCTGCTCGTCCCTACCCATCCCTACCCATACCTACCAATCCCTGCCCATCCCTACCCATCCCTACTCATCCCTGCCATTCCCTACCTATCCCTACCCATCTCTACTCATCCTCGCCCGTCCCTACCCATCCCTGCCCATCCCTGCTCATCCCTACCCGTCCCTACCCATCCCTACTCATCCCTGCCATTCCCTACCTATCCCTACCCATCTCTACTCATCCTCGCCCATCCCTGCTCATCCCTACCCGTCCCTACCCATCCCTACTCATCCCTGCCATTCCCTACCTATCCCTACCCATCTCTACTCATCCTCGCCCATCCCTACTCATCCCTGCCCTTCCCTGCCCATCCTTTGCTTCCTCGCCGGTCTCCCACCTCGCCCTGGACACCACTGACCCTCTGAGCCACCTGGCCTGACACGTCACCGCTCTCCTCCCCCAGTCCCCGTAAACCAGCCAGCAGAAGTCCCTGGTCCCTTTTCATCCCACAAGCGTGTGGCACCTTTCACCCGGGCCGCCGAGCACGGGGAGGGCGGCAGCGTTGCCGTCTCAGCCTCGGGAGCAGGGCCAGACTCAGGGGGTCAGAGCTCCAGCGGCTGACGGGCGTGTCCCTGTCCCCCGGCCCCTCTCCCCAGCCCCCACCATGGCCCGCCGGCACCTCTCCACACTGAGATCACTCTGCCCAGTGCCCAGAACACTCAGGCGTGCCCCAAACTCCAATGGGTCAGGAGTGTGACAAGTGAACCCTCCCACCCGCTGCAAGGGGTCTGCATTTACACGCGTGTAACAGGGACCAGAGACATGGTCTGAGGGTTGGTCCACCTGCCTTGCATGGGCTGAGCCCCGTTTGATTCCCGGCATCCCATACGGTCCCTGTGCATAGCCAGGAGTGACCACTGAGCCGGGAGTCAGCCCTGAGCACAGAGCCAGGAGTCAGCCCTGAGCACAGAGCCAGGAGTGACTCTGAGCACAGAGCCAGGAGTCAGCCCTGAGCACAGAGCCAGGAGTGACTCTGAGCACAGAGCCAGGAATCAGCCCTGAGCACAGAGCCAGGAGTCAGCCCTGAGCACAGAGCCAGGAGTGAGCCCCGAGCACAGAGCCCGGAGTGAGCCCCGAGCACAGAGCCAGGAGTCAGCCCTGAGCACAGAGCCGGGAGTCAGCCCTGAGCACAGAGCCGGGAGTCAGCCCTGAGCACAGAGCCAGGAGTCAGCCCTGAAGGAGAAGGGAGGGAGGAGAGAGGAGAGAGGGAGAGAGGAGAAGCGGGCAGGGGCAGGGCTGCAGCTGGGGGGTCTCGCTCTGGACCAGCCTGACCCCAAGCCCCCTCCAGCCGCCCCTCCGGGCAGCATCCCCTGAGCACCTGCTCTGCCCAGGACCCGTCTGTCTGCCACCCCCCCGCCCCAGGAGACGCTTTCTACCTGCTCCCCTTCTCCCAGGGTCAGAGCCGGGTGCGGGCACCGGGACGGGCGTCCTGGCAGCCAGCCATGCCAGGGAGCGGAGGCCCGCCCACAGCCGCCACCCAGCTCCCCACGTCTGTCGGGGGCGCACGGAGGGGCCATTCCGGAAACCTGGAGCTTCCGGGTCACCGGGCCCTGGACGTGACCCCGGGGGAGGGCTGCCTGGAGGGGGAGGCTCAGCTCAGCAGGGGACCCACACTCCTAGCCTCCCTGGGGAGACTCAGTGAAGGCCACAGCTCCACCCGGAATCTTCTGGAATTTTCCAGAAGAATCCGTCGTCCCTGCTCACCCCCCGGCTCCTTCCTCCCCAGGGGTCGTCCGCCAGGTCCGGCCCATCGTCGGCCCGTTCCACACCGTCCTCCAGCTGGAGATGAACTACGTCGTGGGCGGCACCATGTCCCAGAGGAACGTCATCAACGTACACATCTTCGTCTCCGAGCACTGGTTCTGAGGCCGCCCGCGCTGGGGCCCCCTCGCCCGCCTGTCCCGTGGCCTGCGTCCGGCTGGAACCCAGCCCCCCTCCCGGTCAGCGGTCACTCTCGGCTTCCTCTCTCCGCCCCGTGGGTCTCAGGCCCCGGTGAAGGAGAAGCAGAGAACGACACACACACACCCCAGCCCCACCCAGGGGGCAGCCAGTCCAAATGCCAGGGGGCCAGTTCGTGCCCCGTCCTACGGAATTTGACATTTGGCGCTTTTTTGCCATCAATCCTCGTTCCCTAAGCCTCCGGGCAGGGCGGTCCCAGGGCCCCGGGGTGTGCCGAGCCGGCAGGGGCCATCTGTGGGCGCAGCCTGCCGAGCCCAGTGTGACCCGCTCCTTCCCCCGGGGCCTGGGCATCTGCCCCCTCATCCGTCTTACCGTGTTGGGGGAATAAACGGCTCTGCCAGCCTCCTGCCTGCTGCGTGTGTGTGTGTGTGTGTGTGTGTGTGTTCCAGGGAGGGGCCCCCGAGTAGACCCCCAGAGCCCAGCCTGAGTCTGGGCAGGCGCCCCCCCGGGAGCCCCCTGCCAGCCCCACGCACGCCACTGGCACACACCGACGCCCCCCCCCAGGGCATTCGGACCCGGTCAGGTGTCACTGTGCAGACAGGAAAAGCAGGGACAGGCAGTGACCCCCGTGCACCGACCTGGGGCTGTCCCCAGGGTGTGGGCTGGGAGCGGAGGGACGAGCCGACGGTCAGACCACACACAGAAGCACATGCCTCCACGCGGGGGCCCTGGCACGGCTGGCGGGGTCCCAGAGTCCCCCACCCTGGGGGACCCTCAGGCCCTCGTGCCGAGCACTAAGGCCCCAGCCCCCGACACTGTTGGGGAGTCGTCTGATAACGTGGAAACCGAAAAGTGCAGGGCTGGAGCGGCACACACCAGCCTGGCTCCATCTCCGCCCCCCGCCCCCTGCGGGGTTCCCCGAGGCCCCTGGGAGTGACCCCTGAGCACAGCAGGAATAAGCCCTGAGCACCCCGGGGTGGCCCCAAACAAGAACAACAAGAAGCTTAAGGGCCCAAGGTCCCGGGTGTCGGGGACAAACTGCAGATCGGCCTCAGGGGACACTCGGGCCTCAGGTCTGCTCAGCTGTGTGGGGGGAGGGGGGAGAGCCCGGGCCAGGCCACGTCTGCCATCACCTGACCCCTGACCTCCAGCCTCTCGCCTGAGCCCAGGCTTCCTGTCCCATGCCACGTGTGTGCGTGTGTGTATGTGTGTGAGAGAGAGAGAGTGTATGTGTGTGTATATACGTGTGCATGTCTGAGCGTGTGTGAGTATATGCAAGTGTGAATGTGTGTATGTATGTGTGAATGTGTGTGTGCATATGTGAGTGTGTGTGAGCGTGAGAGTAAGTGTGAGTGTGTGTGTGTGAGAGTATGAGTGTGAAGTGTGTGTGAATGAGTGTGACTGTGTGAGTGTGACTGTGTGTGAGTGTGTGAGTCTGAGTGTGAAGTGAGTGTGCGTGCGTGAGTGTGAAGTGTGCGAGTGTGTGTGAGTGTGAGTGTGTGACTGTGAGTCTGAGTGTGTGTGAAGTGTGTGAGTGTGTGTGTAATGAGTGTGACTGCTTGTGTGTTGTGAGTGTGAGCGTGTGTGTGAGTGTGACTGTGTGAGTGTGTGTGCGTGAGTGTGCGTGAGTGTTGAGCATGAAGTGTGTGAGTGTGTGTGTATGAGTGTAACTGTGTGTGAGTGTTGTGAGTGTGAGGTGCGTGAGTGTGAGTGTGAGTGTGTGTGTGTGTGATGCCTCAGTGAACACAGCCCAGGTGCTGCCACTCGCGGGAGCCACGCCCAGTGCTAGGGGCTGCCCTGACAGTGCTCGGAGCAGGCCGCTGCCGCCCGGTGACCCCGTCCCACCCGCAGCTGGAGTTCGGAGACGGATCAGAACACGCCTGGGCCGGGCGAGCCCCGAGCGTCGCTGGGGCCTGTGGCTGGGGAGGCAGGAATGTCCCCCGGCCTGCGGGCTCGGGGCGGGCTCACAGCCTGCTGGCCGCTGGGCTGCCCAGGTAATTGCATAATTAATTGCACGCAGGTTCGTCTCCAGAAGGTGCTTATTACGTGGGGCCGCCGCCCACGCCCCTGGGGTGCCCCGCGCCCGCCCGCCCGCCCGGCTGTGCCGGCCTGCAGCGCCCGCTGGACGGGGCGGGTTAGAGGGGCAGCTGGGCGCGCCCCAGGCCTGGCCGCTGTTTGTCTGTCTGTCTGTCTGTCTGTCTGCCCGCTGAGGGAGGGAGCCCCTGGAGGCGGCAGGGCCGGGGCTTTTCCTGGGGCACTAGCCAAGCCCCTCACGCTCCCCGAGACACGCTCAGGGGCCCTGACACTCGGGGTCAAGCTCTTGGGGTGCTGGGGCGACTCCAGGGGCCCCTCCCTGGCCCACCGGACGTGACCGTCTCCCCTCCTGCCCCGAGAGAGACCCTCCCTCTCCCTGTCTCTCCTTCCGCAGCAGACCTGGGGACGACGGAGCACTTGGTCCCGTGCGGGTCAGTCACCAGCGGGCAGAGTGTGTCCCGTGGGTGACCTATGGGTCAGGTGTGGCCGTGGCGCTTAGCGGACACGCATTGGCTAGGCAGCAGGCAGGAGGACGGAGTGTCCTGGGGAGAGGGGACGGGCGGCAGGGAGGGCGGGCATCCGGGCCAGCCTGGTCTTCTGCCGAGCTGACCGCAGGCGCTGACCCTGCCAAGGTGGGCGGTCGGCAGAGACCTGCAGGCTCCGGGTGGAGGTTTGGGGTGGGGGGACCACACCTGGCGGATCAGGCGCCTCCTGGCTCCTGCCCGGGGGTCGGTGATGCTGGGATCAAACTGGGAATGGCCGGTTGGGCGTGCGAAGAGCCAGTGACCCCCGGGCCCCCTCGGGCCCCACCACACTTCCGGGAAGGGGGGAGTCGACACTCGGTCTGGCGTTTGCTGCGCTTGCTGGGTCGTTGATTCTGGTCCCTGCTGTTGGGGCAGAGCTGCAAGGGGTCAGGGGTCGTGCGGGGCCAGGAATGGGGTCCTGCCCGCCATGGACACTTCTCTCTTTTCTCTCTCCTGCTCACCTCCCGTCCTCCCCTCCCCCCCTCCATCCCCTCCCTCCCCCCCATGAAGCCCATGACCCCCCATGGGCCCCTCCCCCCTCTTCCCCTCCCCTCCCATCTTCCCTTCCCTCTCTCTCTCCTCTCTCTCTTTTCTTCGCTCTCTCTCTCTCTCTTTTTGCTTTGCTTTTTTTGGGGTCCCACCCGGCAATGCTCAGGGGTTCCTCCTGGCTCTGTACTCAGGGATCACTCCTGGCGGTGCTCGGGGGACTCTATGGGATGCTGGGAATCGAACCCGGGTCGGCCGCGTGCCAGGCAAACGCCCTCCCCGCTGTGCTGCTTTTGGGCACTGTGGACTGCGTCACAGAGGCGGACAGGTCATCGTGTCTATCCCTTTACCTGCTTCCAACACTCAGCGCTTGTCCAGAGAGGTCACTACTGGCACGCAGGTCCCTTCTCTCTCCTCGCTGCCCTTTGTCCCCGGCCCCCTCCTACTGCCGCTCTCCACTGTGACCTGATTCCCACCCTCCCCCCATTCCCAGGACCCAGAGCCCAGAGCCCGACCTCAGTCCTGCAGGGCCACTAGACTCCTGCATGTGTGCAGGTCCCCTGCCTTCTGCACAGCTGCTGTCACCTCCTTCCTCCCTCCCTCCCTCCCTCCCTTCCTTCCTTCCTTCCTTCCTTCCTTCCTCCCTCCCTCCCTTCCTTCCTCCTTTCTTTCTCCTTCCTTCCTCCCTCCCTTCCTCCCTCCTCCCTTCCTTCCTTCCTTCCTTCCTTCCTTCCTTCCTTCCTTCCTTCCTCCCTCCCTCCCTCCCTCCTTTCTCTTTCCAAAGTGCTGCCCCTCCCACACACAGACTGTCCCCAGTCTCCTACCTCCCACCCGAGTGTCACCCTCCCCCAGACAAGTGGGGACTCTGACGCCCTCGCCCTCCTGAGCCCTCGTCTCTCCCCTGCGTTGCTCGCCCGCTCACAGAGGGTTGGGCCTGGGCTCAGGCTGTGAACGGGTCAGAACCCACAACTCTGAGGCCAGCCGCAGGCCCATGGCCACGGGGGCCCACACGTGAGCCAGTGACCCAGAGCACAGCAGCTGCCTGGCGAAGGCTGACTGAGCCGGGTTCCCTTGGCGCCAGACGGGGCTTTCCATCCCCAAAGTGCTGGCGGCCAGAGAGAGAGGCCGGGGCCTCGGGGGCTGGCCTTGCCCACAGCTCACTGCCAGGAGTGACCCTGAGCACAGAGCCAGGAGTCAGCCCCGAGCACAGCCAAGAGTGAGCCCTGAGCACAGAGCCAGGAGTCCGCCCTGGGTACAGTCAGGAGCCAGCCCTGAGCACAGAGCCGGGAGTCAGCTCCGAGAACAGAGCCGGGAGTCAGCCCTGAGCACAGAGTCAGGAGTGAACCCTGAGCACAGAGCCAGGAGTCAGCCCTGGGTACAGAGTCAGGAGCCAGCCCTGAGCACAGAGCCTGGAGTGAGCCCTGAGCACAGAGCCTGGAGTGAGCCCTGAGCACAGAGCTGGGAGTCAGCCTGAGCACTGCCAAGCTGTGTGCTGGGGAACTGGGAGCTGGAGCCGGACCAGGAACCACGGGGCTCCCTTCCGCACCGCCCCCCCCAGCCAGCTGGGACCCAGCCGTAGCCCCGCCCCGCCCGGTTTCCCTGGAAACGTTGCTCCCGTTCTGGGAATTCAGATGAAAGCGCCACATGCAAATGAGGGCGGCTGCAATTAGGAGCCGCACATGTTCCTGGGGGGGGGGAGGGGGTTTCTGGAACAAAGAAGGAAACGGGGAGGGGGCAGGGGCGCCTGGCCAGGGGTGACCGGCTCTCCGGAGGGACGGGAGGTTGATTGACCCAGCGACAAAGTGAGAGGAGAAAGTGGGCGCCGGACCGGGCGGGCTGAGGGTCCCAGGAGCAGCCCCCCTTTCTGCCGTAGTCTGAGCCCTGGCAGCCGTGTCTGCCCTGGACCCCCGCTTCGGCCCTTGGGAAGTTGTCCAGCTCCCCAAACTGAGACCCCCCGCCCACCCTGCCCCCAGATCCTGCCAGCGACCTCGAGACAAACCCCACAACCCCCTGAGGGCCCTGACTGTGGGAGGTGGGCACGGGGCAGGGGGTGGGGGAGGCCCCCAAGTCCAGAGAAGGAAGGGAGCACGCAGGGGAGGATGGGGTTGGGAGGGCATGAGTGTGTGCGTGTGTGCGTGTGTGCGTGTGTGTGTGTGTGTGTGTGTGTGAGAGAGAGAGGGGGAGAGAGAGAGAGAGAGGGAGAA